CGTCATCAGTATTTCAGTATCAGCAGGGCACCCATGATGGACATGTTTCAGTGGAGCTTCCAGACTAAGAGAAACTAGGAAGAAGGGTATAGCCAAGTCCACTTCTGGTGTGTGTGTCTGGGGGAGGGGGAATGAGCCACTGAAAATCTTATGAGTAGCAGGGAAACACTGTCTCATATAACACAGGAAAATGAGTCCCTCAGGTTGGAAGTTACTCAAAATACAACTGGGGAAGAGCTACCTCTTCAAAGTAGAGTTGGCTTTAATTAATTTGATGGAGTAAAGCTTTCTGGACCTTCATTTGCTGATGTGGCATAACTTCAAAATGAGAAGAAACAGCTGCAAACTTCCATTAATAATCAGAACATGGGATGTATAAAGTACGAATCTAAGAAAACTGGAAGTTATAAACAATGAAATGGAACGCATAAATATTGATATCTTAGGCATTAGTGAGCTGAAATGGATTGGTATTGGCTATTCTGAATCAGACAATCATACAGTCTACTATGCTGGGAATGACAAATTGAACAGGAATGGTGGCACATTTATCATCAAAAAGAACACTTCAAGATCTATCCTGAAGCACAAGGCTGTCAGTGATAGGATAACATCCACATGCCTGCAAGGAAGACCAGTTAATACGACTATTATTCAAATTTACACACCAACTATTAAAGCCAAAGATGACGAGAGACTGAAGATTTTCACTAACTTCTGCAGTCTGAAACTGACCAAACATGCAATCAGGGTATATTGATAATTATTGGTGATTAGAATGGGAAACCTGGAAACAAAGAACCATCAGTAGCTGGAAAATATGGCCTTGGTGATAGAAATTACTCCAGAGATTGCATGGTAGAATTCTGCAACACCAATGACTTATTCATCACAAATCGCTTTTTTAAACAGTATACAGTTACTATACACGTGTACCTCACCAGATGGAATACACAGGAATCAAACTGACTACATCAGTGGAAAGAGACAATAGAGAAGCTCAATATCATCAGTCAGAACAAGACCAGGGGCCACCTGTGGAAAGACCATCAATTGCTCATTTTTTTAAGTTGAAGCTGAAAAAAATTTAAACAAATCCACGAGAGCCAAAATATGACATTGAGTATATCCCACCTGAATTTAGAGATCATTTGAAGAATAAGTTGATGTACTGAACACCAGTGATGAAGACGAGTTGTGGATGACATCAAGGACATCCATGAAGAAAGCAAAATGTCACTAAAAAGACAGGAAAGGAAGAGAAGACCAAATTGGATGTCAGGAGAGGCCCAGAAACTTGCTCTTGAATGGAGAGTAGCTAAAGCAAATGGAAGTTCTATATAACCACCAACATCAGTAGCTATCTTTTACTGTGTACTTACTATGGACCAGAAACCTGGCAGCCCTTAATATCTCAGCTAATACTTAGATAAAACTGTAAGCCAATGATCAAGTGCACTCAGGGAGTATAACAAATGCAGGCTGGGGACAGAACAATGTGTACAGAAGACAGGGTTCTTAGGAAAATTGCACTCAGGTGAATTTTTCAAAAGCATATGGTTAAATGCTATACAAAATATATATAGCATGATAGATGCCCTCATTTGGAGAAGGCCATTGGAGATGAGGAGGGTGAGGGAATGAGGCAATTTGGGATCACAAGATTCGCTTGTTCAAGGTCAGACACAAATGGGGGCAGAGCTCCAGATGGAACTCTCAGGATCATGTTAGAAGTCACTGTCTTATCCCGCCTACTGTCCTATTTCCTTTTAGGTAGTTGGCTAGAATCCTCTATAGTAATACAAACGAGTCAAATTTATCAACCATGGAAAATATCTATTATTTTATTAAAAACAAGAGCAATGAGCGTCAGAAGGTCTAATCTTCCTTCCCTTGTGCGGTGTCCTGTGCTGGTTAAAACCTTTGAGATAAGCTTCTCTGTTAGGTGTAAAGTGTTCTTAGGCTGACAGCAGGCAGAGGAGGTGAGATTCACGTGCTCTCACTGGTGCTCTGCCACTTCGAGTTTCCAACTGAAACTGACCAAACATGTGTGACCTGGGAACAGAAATGTAAAGAGTCCAAAGGGCAGAGAATGATTTTCTTTACATTTATTTGTCCTCAGCATGCATTCTAGGCTTGACCTTTCTAATCATGATCGTCTTTGGCTCTGGTTATAGTCTCTAGGCTACCTGCCAATGCAAGGGGGCAGGCTAGGTAGAAGCTGAGGGAAGCCTGGGCTTTTCCAGCCACCTGGGACCAATCCACACAAGCATGTGCCAAAGTTTCCTGCTCACTTATCCCTAAACAAATGCTAAGGCCACTTGCCTTGGAACTAGTGCCACCAGAGATTTCACAACTGCAGGGAAAGCGGACTGTGGAAAACATACTCAGATCAGGGTTGGGGTACTACTTGAGATTCATTAAGTGTTGTTGTTATTTGCCGTCAAGTCGGCCCCGACTCATAGAGACCCCTCCTTGGGTTTCCGAGGCAGTTTCACTACAGAAATAGGAATGCCCAACCTTCCTTCTGAGGAGTGGCTGGTGGGTTTGAACCGCCAGCCTTCTGGTTAGCAGTCAAGTGCCCTAGGCACTATGCTACCAGAGCTCCCTCATTAAGTGTAGTTCCTAAGTATTGTTTCAAAGAGTCGCTATGAGTCAGCTCACAGTTTTACCATAAGTATTAAACGGGATATGAAGGGCAACCAGGTTTCTGGCCCATAGTAAGTGCACAATAAAATGATGTTGACGGAATCAATAAGTTTTTTAATTTAAAATACTGCTCTAAAAATCCCATTTCTAAAACAATAAAACAATGTTTAAAGCAAAGACAGATATACTGTGAAGTTCTACTTCAAATCTTTGTTATTGTGTGTCCTCAGAAGAGTTTCTTGCAAAAAGAAAAATGGCTTTAGGTTCTAAGACGAACTCTGGATTGGGGAAACTAACTGCTGTCTCAGCGTCTAACTTGTGCAAAGAGACAAAACCCTAGAATGGCAAAGGCCTGCTCCTGGATCTGTGAAGACTTAGAAATCATGGACAATGAGTTGCTCTTTTTTCACCCCTAGTTGACTGTGGCTCCTGAAATACCTACTATCAATACTGGTCCTATAGCTCCTCTCATTTACCTTACTGAATATCAAACTGACAGAAGATTAGATAAGAACCTTAGGAAGTAGTGAGTTTATGTTAATGGAGAAGGAACAACTCAGAAAAGGAGGGTGAGAGTGGTTGCACTACTGGAAGAATACGATCAATGTCCCTGAATTGTTCATGTAGCAACTGCTGAACTCATGTGTATTTTGCTATGTATAGTCCCAACAACAACAACAAAATCAATTTTTTAAAAAAATTTTAACTACTGAACATAAAAAACCAAAAGAATAAAATAAAACATAATCCCATTCCTTAATTCTATCTATAAACCCAGCAGCTTCCAACAATTTTAGAAAGTTTTAATCCTTACATTTTTCTAGAAGTCAGATACAATCTTAAAGTAAATAAATACGTTAAATTCCTGTTATAAAACATAAAAGTGATGCTTATGAGTTACAGTACCAATATGGATTTTCTTGTGGGTGGCTGGAGATACTAGTCCCTGTGGCACAGAAGAAGGACGTGACATCCATTTCTGCTAACATTCACTCTGCATGACACTGCAGTAAAGTGCCATGATTAGCAACTGTTTTTTAAATTTAAAAAAGGATTAAAAATATATTACAGGAAGAACAGTGAACTTCATATATCCATTGCACAGATTTTAACACTTGTTAAAACTTCCACTGTCTGCTATCTGTATACTCCTCTTTTTTTTTTCTGAACCATTTGAGTAAATTATAGACAACATTGATCCTTTAGCCCTAAATACTTCAGCATGACTATTCAAAAAGGACATTCTCCTACATAGCTCAATACCATTATCACTTGTCAATAAAATTAACAATAGTTGCCATTATCATCTATTACCCAGTTCATATTTAAATTTCCCAAATTGTCCTCCGAATGTGTTTTATAGCAGGTTCAAGCCAGATTCCTATCAAAGGCCACTAAAGCACAGCTTGTCAAAGTAAGAAGGTAGACAAAGAATGACATAGAAAAGCAGAGGGGCTGAAACTTGACAGTAAATTATCATCCCATCTATTTTTCCCTTTAAAAAGAAAAACAACGTATCCATAATCTGACCTCAAATGAGAACAGTTGTATACACCTTCTTCCAGTTTATTTTTTCTGTGCATAAACACTCATTCACAGGTACAGTTATGATCAGTCTCGCTACAGATCAAATGTTATTATTAGCAGCCTTTTTTGGCAAGTGGATGTAGATGGACAAGACTTGATGAAGTCTTCCTTAAGACTTTTAGGCATGTCTGCTGTGTAAAGAACAGGGCAGAAAGGCTGAGTGTGTTGGAAGACTGAAATGTCCCGGGGGCACTGCTAAAGGGCTCTCTGGTTCCAGGAGCACCACCGCATTGCTTTGTGACTCTGCTGGCTCCCCTGCCTCAAAGCTGATGCTAATATAAGCCCTTGAGAGAGACACACAGTAGGCACTGATAGACATGCTGCCCCGCACCATGTTTGTCCAGAAGAAATAAAATGACTTTTTTTTTTTTACAGAAGGCACTTTGAACACCTTGAAAAAAATGTACTATATATTTTAAAGCTATTAATAACATACTCTAAATCAAAAATATCCAAACTCATAGATATCAAAACTTTGGTTTACAATATTTTTTAAAAACTGAAATTTTTCAAGAAACAATGTTGGACCTGAATAAAGTATCTCAAACTGAGCTATATACTGAGCCAAACCAACACAATGAGATACGAATTGTTTTATTCCTCAGGACAAATGTCTGCTGATTTCCTTTAAGCCATGCTGAACTGCGTTTGCAGATCTGGAAAGTGTTTCCCAAGCAGTTTCAGCTCTGGTTTTGAGCCATCGTCTCACTGCAGAAGGCTGCCCCCTTCCTTCTTTCTGGAAGTGAAGCCCAGGATTTTCTTACCTTGCTTCCAGGGGCACAGATGGCTTCGTTTCCCAGGCTTCTGTTTTTCAACAGCATTGCCCATTCTAAAGTCAGAGGATTACAGGGTCTTTCTAAGCCCAGGTGTCTTTGTTGAATACCAAATAAAGACCAAGTCACTAGCTGAAAGGGGATTCATCTCCTGGACATCCCAAATTACCCAGAGGCAGAGCCCTAGCAAACCCTTACAAGGACAACTTAAGGAATTCTGCTCTGAAAGGGTCTTTGCCTTTTGCCTTTCAAACTCTCTTCAGTCCCAGAGAGGAAATCAGAAGAAAAGGCTTGTTATCGCCCTACCGGTGAGTCTCAGTAATCTGTCTATATTAAGAACTCTTTCCTTGGCCCTCCTTTGACACTTGATTACTCATCTGCACAGTAACAGGCACAGAGAATGGACTATATCCCCAAATACTTTTAACGCTGCTTTTCCCTGGTGGAGAAGTGGGGAATCACGTGATCAGAAACTGACAGTTATAAATGGACCAATTTTGGGCTCTGCCACAAGATACAGATCATGTAGACTCTTATGTCACACCTTCTTTTTAAGCTTCTCACCCTCAGACTGTGTGGAGAACTTGTGTAATGAGTTCTGTCTGAGAAAACAAGCTGATTGCTTTAATACCGTGCCCCCCCCACCGCAAACTATACTTCAGTTCACAAAGGAAAAGATCATGTAGGCTGTTAGGGATTGAATTGTGTTCCCCCAAAATATGTGTCAACTTGCCTCGCACAATATTTCGTAATTACGTTCAGCTTTGTTAGCTGATGTAATTTTACTACGTATTGTAAATCCTCACCTCTATGATGTTAAAGAGGCAAGAGTAAAGACAGTTATGTTAATGAGGCAGAATGCAATCTGTATGGTTGAGATACAAAAGGGATTAAATGAGATTAGAAGAACCTACTACCACCAAGGAAGAAGAGCTGGGAGTGGAGCTTGTCCTTTGGTCCTGGGGTGCCTGTGCCTAGAATCTCCTAGACCCAGAGGAAGACTGATGCCAAGATGTGTGGAGATCTCCAAGGAATGATGGGCCCACAGATGTTGACAGGAGACAAGACCTTCCCACTAAACTGTGAGCCAACAGAGACAGAAAGCCTTCCCCTAGAGCTAACGTCCTGGATTCAGACTTCTACACTCCTAAACTGTGAGAGAATAAATTTCTGCTTATTAAAACCATCCACTTGTGGTATTTCAGTTATAGTAGCACTAAATAAGTAAGACAGAGGCCAACCACAGCTAATAGTTTGTAATCTGGAGTTCCATTTAGGGAATAATTGTGTTTGAGAAAGTGTTACACCACCTGAATTTTGTACAACAGGTCTGGTGGAAGAAAAGAAGGGCATGAAATTATATATTTTTTGGTAGAAAGAAAATGTCAAAGCAGATGGGAAAATTTCGCTTATTTTAATCCTAGAGTTTGGGGTTAGAAAAGCCCTTAAAGAATATCCTTTAGCGTAATAAGGATACAAGCTCTGGAGCCTAACAACCTGGGTCCAATTCCTAGCTCTGCCAACTGAGCACAGCTGCCTCAACTTCCTCATCTGTAATGAGGATAAAATGAAAGAATGTTTGTGAAGTTCTTAGCATGCTGCCCGGCACTCAGGAAGCCCTTAGTAAATATTTACCTTCATCATTTTTATCATCCTAGACTGTGAAACTATAAGCTCAAATGGCAGATTTCTGGCTTCTGCCAGTTTGGCCAAAGTCAAAGCACAAATATAATTCATTCAATGGGGCTGGATGGTACAATATGACACCAAAGCACAGAACTAAAGTAAAATTTAAAGACAATATTAAAAAAAAAAAAGAGACTCACAGAACCAAAAGATCCAAGTTTAAGAGGCACTAAATGCAATGTGGTCTCAATGTGCTCTGTTAGAATTTCCAAGCACCACAGCCATCATGTTACACCAGCCCATTCTAAAGGGGAGAAAATAGTCTGTCAATTTATGCAAAATGAATGAAGCCAAATGCAAACCTCTATAAGGTTAGAGCCAATTCCCAGCCTCACCGTCCTCTTCTCTAGACCAAACTGCAACCACAACTGACGAGCAAAGACCCAGAACCACCACCACAGCAGAGGTCCACTGAAACAACATTCAAATTCAATACCCCCTCCATCAACTACCATCCTCCATCCTTTTGGTAAATTCTGATGAGACCTCATTTATTTGTTCCTACTAAATGCCACAGCAATTTCCTTTAGACAAGTTTTCAATGTCAGATATCTGACCTCATTTCTCTCACACGATATTCTCCCAAAACCACAATAAATCAAAAAGGCTCTAATTATAACAGTTGAATTGGTATATGTTGTTCTGCACATATTCTCAACAACAACAAAATCAATAAAATTATAAAATAAAATAAAGCAAAAGAAAGAAGTTCCTTACCATTGAGGCCAAAGCATAAAACAAAAAGCATGGTCTACTAAAAAAAAAAAAAAGTTCTACTTATGAACCTGTACTTTAATCTTTCATTTCAACCAACAAAAATTTTGCTTGTGAACACTTGGCAAATAAGTTACCAAAAGCTCTATACATGATGCTTCCTAGCACTCAGTAGAACATCCAGCACACAGCAGGTGCTTAATAACTCTGTTGAGCAAACAAATAGGTGGATAGTTGAAGAACTAAATGAATGAATAAATGAGAAGTCTTCCTAAAACACACACTGACTCCACCCCTCCTCCCAGAAAGGGTTAATCGGAGCATCTGATCCATGCATAAACTCTCCTTTCCTTGCAAGAGTCAGAGGACTTGGCTTGGGCCAACCAAAGCAGGAACACTGTTCCATCAGCCTCTCCCATCCCTCAGCTTGAACAGTCTCTCTCCCTTGGAATTTCATGTGAATCATTTTTAATTGCACTGTTTGTGTGTAAAGTCCTTGAAGTTCAAGAACAGCCTTTGTATCAATTTCTTGTTGTACCTATGCACACACAGGACAACAGGCTCCAAGGGTGGTACATTGTACAGCTGGGTACCTGGCTGCAATTTCCTGACTTGGGTCTGCCGAATCTCAATGTATCCCAAGCTCCAAGCAACTAATTTACTAAAGAACTTTTCAAACAAGCTGGAAATTTCCCTGAGAGAACAGCTTTGAAATGAGGATCCAGCAGTGGTTCAACTGCTTCTCAGGTAGTCATGGCTTCCCAAAATGATTCAAATGCCAACTGTTTAGGGAGAGAGAAATGGTAGGCTATTCCGAAGAATTCACTGATTCTCAACTTGGAAAAAAGGTCTTTGATAGTAATTCCTAAAGATGCATACACTCAAAATCCAAGATAGGCAAGTGACCCATCTTCAGTTCACATTTTACAGAGACAACATAAGATTCCAATGATCAGGATTAATAGAAAATGAAATGTCACTAAAAGAAGGATGCTCACCGCACAGCCAACCTGATGCTTTTCCATGTCTTGAACAAGTGCATCCAGGATCTGGGGTGTATCTACTACTTTCATTAAGACCGTATTTGACCACGTTACCAAAGCAACTCCTTGAGGTATTACTACAAGTCACAAATCATTGATTCACAGAAGGTAGTGCTGAAAGAGACTTGTAAGACCTTCTCCTCCAACGACGCCCCTCCCCATTTTATAGCTGAAAGGTCCAAGCCCAGAGAGAGGAAAGGATCAAGGCTACATACTTGGTGAGAGAGCTACATCCTCCCAGAATTTTTATCCTGGGCTAGGAAAGCTGCTACACATTTCCTCCTGATAGGAGGAGGGAGAATAGCAACGGGACAGAGATGGCTTTGCAGGAAAGCAGGCTGGCTTGAATGTCTGGGGGTGGGGGTGGGGGGCTTCCTAGCTAGGTAACTTTAGGAAATAACTTAACTTCTCCGGATCTTACTTTTCCTCATATGCAAAATGTGTACAATTATGCCACCTAGTTCACAGGGAAGCTGTAAGGGTTAAATAAGATTGTTTGAAAATACTTGGCACAGAGGAACACTCATTAAAGAATAGCTGTTGCTGTTTTTATTATCTTATTGCCAATAAAGCTCCAGCTTTAGACATAATCATTAAAAAAAAAATTACCTGACTGCTAACCAGAAGGCTGGCGGTTCAAACCCACTAGCCACTCCTTGGAAGGAAGGTTGGGCGATCTACTTCCATAGAGATACCACCTCAGAAACCCAAGGAGGGGTGGCTATGAGTCGGGGCCGACTCGAGGGCACATAACAACAACAACAACAACAACAACAACAACAAGGGATTTCTTTTCCCCTATATCACAATAAGATTGGCAGAAGCATTCTGGTAAATAACTTCATTCTCTTAGTGCAATTAAAATAAAATTTTACTTGCAAACATTTGTACCATAGGACTAATATTTTGATTGTGGAAAGTGACATAAACCAGAAGTAATACTGTGGCTACTGAAGCATGAAACATTTTGGGGAGTGTCACTCCTACGTGTAAAATTGGATTCAGAAGAAATCTAAGTCATAGATTCCTGCAAGGAGTTGCTCCCTTCTTGAGGGAGATTTTTTTTTTTTTAAGTTAGAAATCATGGTTCAAAAGGGACAGATCAGTGGGTCCCTAAAATGTGCACATTCACCCACCCCAAGCCAACGAGACAGAGGCTGGACTATCCGGTGGGTCCCTCGTAGCTGTCATGAAACTTGTGTATGGAATTTGTCTGCTGGGAGGAAAGTCTGATGTTGGTCACTTCCCCTCTGGAGAAAAATACAACAATACAAGGAAGTGCCAAGCACTGTGGGAATGTTCCAAGTGGTAGTTCCAGCTCACTCTAGAATATAAACAAAGGGGAATGGCCTGCTTCGAGATCAGGCCCAAAAAAGCACTGTGGCAGAAAGTCTGGAAGGCAGTCTTCTGGGCGTTAGCTCCTGTACACAGCTCTCTGGACTCTGCTTTGAAGTGACTTCTCTGCCCAGCCCTGGAGGAAAGCATTGAAGGCACGAGTCACGTTGCATGTCATGTGTCACAGGAAACATAAACTCAAGGATTCTCTTATGACACACTCACAGATCAGTCTCAGAATGTCATAGCTGGAGGGATCTCAGTGAGTCACTTGACA